TCTCTCCTCACCTGTAACCCTGGGGCTGACTGCTCTTCTGTCCGTGTTCCTGGCTCTTATCCCCTTTCTCCTGCTCTTCCGGCCTGCTACTCTGGGCGGGCCTGAGTTTCTTCTCCTTACCTAATCCTTTCGGCTGATTGCTCTTCTCTCTGGCTTCCTGGCTTTTAATCAAAATTAAAATGTATATTACATGACCTGATAAAATGAGTTGGAAAGGGTTTTCGTATTCTAATTTCTGGGAGAAGAAATTGTTTAAAGTTAGTGTTAATTGCTCAAATGTTTGGTAAGAAGAAATTGTTTAAAGTTAGTGTTAATTGCTCAAATGTTTGGTATAAATGTCCAGTAAAACCATCTGGGCATGGATTACTTTTTGAGAGTTTTTAAATTGGTAACTGTATTTTTTAATCACTATAGGACCATTCAGGGAGCTCTGGTAGCGTAGTGGCTAAGGCACTTGACTGCTAACCAGAAGGCCGGCGGTTCAAACCCACCAGCCACTCCCCGGAAGGAAGATGGGGCAATCTACTTCCGTAGTGCTACTGCCCTGGAAACCCAAGGAGGGGTCGCTATGGGTCAGTTCTGACTCAATGGCACATAACAACAACAGGACCATTCATGTTAACTATTTCATTGTGGCTGAATTTTGGTACTTGTAGATTTTGAGGAATTGGTCTCTGTGTAAAGGACCTGTTTTACCTCAAGTAAGGTGACCTTTGTTGGCTCTGGAGAAATATCTCCTGTAAGAATTAATGTGCCTTGTTCTGGGACTTCTAGATCATACCTGTTTCGGGTAGGGTCTGGCCAGACCAGAAAAGACTCACCTGAGAGACTCCCAACTTGAATCTCTTACCATAAGGGCCATTCTCGACTCTTCCCCTTGCTTATCTGTAAACTGTGAGAAATTTGGCTCTTACCATCTACCATCCATTTCCCTGACTTTTTCTTTTGTTGTTGTTGCTAAGAATATACACTATTTCAAAGACCATAATGCTCAAGGCAGACATTCTTTACTAATTAAGCTAAACTGCTGTTTGGTTTAAAGACTTAAGGGGATATTTTTGGTTTAAGGTTTAAAGATTATCTCAGGTCAATATTCAATACTTTCTGGGGCTCATCCAGCCTCCATGGCTCCAGAAAGTCTGGTTTTCATGATAATTTGAAATGCTCTTCTATACTCTCCTCTTTTGATCAGAATTCTTTTATAATCTTTCGTCAAACCATTCAGTAATGGTAGCTGAACACCATCTGTTCTGGTCTTATGGCAGAGGAAGCAGTTATGCATGGAGGCAGTTAGCTTTCATTCCATTTCCCCCTCCTTTTCCTGACTCTCCTTTCTCTGTTTCTCCAGGCCAATACAGCCACTTGCCAGCTTAAGACTCCAGGCTCTACACATCTAACTAGGAGGTAGAACAGAAGCATTGAAAACAATATTAGGCCAGTTAACTAGAATGTTCCATGAATCCATGAGCCTAAACCTGCAAACAAAGAAACCTGCAAAGTGTTTGGTTGTACATATGAATTATTTATTTTGGTTTTCATTTTACAGACTACTTATTTCCATTGTTGCTTTTTCCTCCACCCTTTTTAATGAGGTTTTATACATGTGTACTTGTTCTGGTTAACTAGTGCTGCTCTGACAAGAAATATACCACAAATGGGATGGCTTTAACAAACAGGAGTTTATTCTTAATTTGGAGGGTTTAAGTCCAAGTTCAAAGTGGCAGACTCTAGGGGCTGGGTGAAAGCCCCTCAACCTTGGAGTCCAGCTCTGCCTCTGCTCCCAGCCCCCTGGAGGTAGAGGC